TCTCCATTCACTCCTATCTAACACGCTCATGCACGCTTGCTGGAAGTCCAAGCCCCTCACCCACAAAACCTCCTTTACCCCCTCTTTCCAACCCTTTCGAGGACGACCCCTATATATATATATATATATAATGTCATGCCGAATAGGCAGAACTTGCGATCTTGGCTTAAATATCAACGTTCATCTTGCCATATAGGACAAGTGAAAATTTGTGTATGCAATAATTTCGCCAAAATCATTCTGAACCTAACGAAAAAAAAAAATTTCACTGTGTTTGTTTAGTATTAAATTATTGTAAACAAATCTAAAATATATTTAGTTGGGTTAGGCTAAAATAAATTGTTCTTGTTATAATAAGTTTAGGTAAGTTTTCTAAGTTCCTTTTGGTGCAAAATTATAAATTTTTACATCAACATTAATGAAAAAAATATATCTTTAAACGTATAAGAGAAAATTTTAGAAAGGACTTAATTTTAAGTGAGTTCTTGCTAATTGACCAGTTTTACATATTCGGCACGACATATATATATATATACACACACACACACACACACACACACACCCTGCCTCGGTGGGAGGCGACCGACTTGTTGAAAAAAAAAAATAATAATATATACAGTGGACCCCCGCATAACGGACGCCTTGCATAGCGGACAATCCGCATAGCGGACGCTTTGATCGCTAAAATTTTGCCCCGCATAGCGCCCAAAAACCCGCTCAGCGGCCTTCGTCCGAGACGCGTCCAATGTGCGGCCTGAGCCACGCTCACATGTTCCGCGGTGGCATTGTTTACCAGCCAGCCTCCGCGGTAACATCCAAGCATACAATCGGAACATTTTGTATTATTACAGTGTTTTTGGTGATTTTTTTCTGGAAAATAAGTGACCATGGGCCCCAAGAAAGCTTCTAGTGCAACCCTACAGCAATAAGGGTGAGAATTACTATGGAGATAAAGAAAAAGATCATTGATAAGTATGAAAGTGGAGTGCGTGTCTCCGAGCTGGCCAGGTTGTATAATAAACCCCAATCAACCATCGCTACTATTGGTGGTACAGCTGCTGCTGCTGCTGCTGATCACCGTCAGCTGCTGCTGCACTGTCAGCTGCTGCTGCTGTACCACCGTCAGCTGCTCCTGCTGCTGTAGTACCGTCTGCTGCTGCTGTAGCATCATCTGCTGCTGCTGTAGCATCGTCTGCTGCTGCTGTAGCATCGTCTGTTGCTGCTGTAGCATCGTCTGTTGCTGCTGTACCACCGTCAGCTGCTGCTGCTGCTGTAGCATCTTTCGCTGCTGCTGCTGCTGTAGCATCGTCTGCTGCTGCTGTAACATCGTCAGTTGCTGCTGTAGCATCGTCTGCTGCTGCTGTAGCATCGTCTGTTGCTGCTGTAGCATCGTCTGCTGCTGCTGCTGCTGTAGCATCGTCTGCTGCTGCTGCTGCTGCTGTAGCATCGTCTGCTGCTGCTGCTGCTGTAGCATCGTCTGCTGCTGCTGTAACATCGTCAGCTGCTGCTGCTGCTGCTGTAGCACCGTTGTTGGTGTGGCTTATTGAGAATACCAAGAAACAATTAACCCCAGAGGATTTGCCACCCAGGATAGCCCAAAAAAGTCAGTGTCATCGAAGACTGTCTAACTTATTTCCATTGGGGTCCTTAATCTTGTCTCCCAGGATGCAACCCACACCAGTCGACTAACACCCAGGTGAACAGGGAAAATGCCTGGAACTAGTGCTCATATTGGTGAATTTAGAGCCAGCAAAGGTTGGTTTGAGAGATTTAAGAATCGTAGTGACATACACAGTGTGATAAGGCCTGTTCTGGAAGAAAATACCAAACAGGACCTACAGTACTCAGGAGGAAAAGGCACTCCCAGGACACAGTGTCTCATCAGTCATTGCTGCATCTTCAATAAAGGTAAGTGTCAATTTATTCTTCATTTAGTAGAGTAGTACATGCACAATATATATTGTGCATGTACTACTCTACTATTGTGCATGTATCCTTCTCTTTGTGTGTAGGAAAATGTATATTTCATGTGGTAAAATTTTTTTTTTCAAACTTTTGGGTGTCTTGCACGGATTAATTTGATTTCCATTATTTCTTATGGGGAAAATTCATTTACATAGCGAACATTTCGCATAACAGCCAGCCCTCTTGCACGGATTAAGGTCGCTATGCGGGGGTCCACTGTATATATATATATTTTTTTTTTCAAGTCGGCCGTCTCCCACTGAGGCAGGGTGACCCAAAAAAGAAAGAAAATCCCCAAAAAGAAAATACTTTCATCATCATTCAACACTTTCACCTCACTCACACCTCACTCACACTCACTGTTTTTGCAGAGGTGCTCAGAACACAACAGTTTAGAAGCATATACGTATAAAGATATACAACATATCCCTCCAAACTGCCAATATCCCAAAAGCCTCCTTTAAAGTGCAGGCATTGTACTTCCCATTTCCAGGACTCAAGTCCGACTATATGAAAATAACCGGTTTCCCTGAATCCCTTCACTAAATATTAACCTGCTCACACTCCAACAGATCGTCAGGTCCCAAGTATCATTCGTCTCCATTCACTCCTATCTAACACGCTCATGCACGCTTGCTGGAAGTCCAAGCCCCTCACCCACAAAACCTCCTTTACCCCCTCTCTCCAACCCTTTCGAGGACGACCCTACCCCGCCTTCCTTCCCCTATAGATTTTATATGCTTTCCATGTCACTCTACTTTGATCCATTCTCTCTAAATGACCAAACCACCTCAACAACCCTCTTCTGCCCTCTGACTAATGCTTTTATTAACTCCACACCTTCTCCTAATTTCCACACTCCGAATTTTCTGCATAATATTTACACCACACATTGCCCTTAGACAGGACATCTCCACTGCCTCCAACCGTCTCCTCGCTGCTGCATTCACAACCCAAGCTTCACATCCATATAAGAGTGTTGGTACTACTATACTTTCATACATTCCCTTCTTTGCCTCCATAGATAACGTTTATTGACTCCACATATACCTCAACGCACCACTCACCTTTTTTCCCTCATCAATTCTATGATTAACCTCATCCTTCATAAATCCATCCACCGACACGTCAACTCCCAAGTATATCTGAAAACATTCACTTCTTCCAAACTCCTCCTCCCCAATTTGATATCCAATTTTTCTTTATCTAAATCATTTGATACCCTCATCACCTTACTCTTTTCTATGTTCACTTTCAACTTTCTACCTTTACACACATTCTCATACACTAACCTTTGCACTTTTTCTTTAGAATCTCCCATAAGCACAGCATCATCAGCAAAAAGTAACTGTGTCAATTCCCATTTTGAATTTGATTCCCCATAATTTAATCCCACCCCTCTCCCGAACACCCTAGCATTTACTTCTTTTACAACCCCATCTATAAATATATTAAACAACCATGGTGACATTACACATCCCTGTCTAAGACCTACTTTTACTGGGAAGTATTCTCCCTCTCTTCTACACACCCTAACCTGAGCCTGACTATCCTCATAAAAGCTCTTTACAGCATTTAGTAACTTACCACCTATTCCATATACTTGCAACATCTGCCACATTGCTCCTCTATCCACTCTATCGTATGCCTTTTCTAAATCCATAAATGCAATAAAAACTTCCCTACCTTTATCTAAATACTGTTCACATATATGCTTCAATGTAAATACTTGATCTACACATGCCCTACCCACTCTGAAGCCTCCTTGCTCATCCGCAATCCTACATTCTGTCTTACCTCTAATTCTTTCAATTATAACCCTACCGTATACTTTTCCTGGTATACTCAGTAAATTTATTCCTCTATAATTTTTACAATCTCTTTTGTCCCCTTTCGCTTTATATAAAGGGACTGTACATGCTCTCCGCCAATCCCTAGGTACCTTCCCCTCTTTCAAACATTTATTAAACAAAAGTACCAACCACTCCAACACTATATCCCCCCTGCTTTTAACATTTCTGTCATGATCCCATCAGTTCCAGCTGCTTTACCCTCTTTCATTCTACGTAATGCCTCACGTACCTCCCCCACACTTACATTCTGCTCTTCTTCACTCCTAAAAGATGCTATACCTCCCTGGCCAGTGCATGAAATTACTGCCTCCCTTTCTTCCTCAACATTTAAAAGTTCCTCAAAATATTCTTGGCATCTACCTAATACCTCCCTCTCCCAATCTACTAACTCTCCTACTCTGTTTTTAACTGACAAATCCATACTTTCCCTAGGCTTTCTTAACTTGTTTAACTCACTCTAAAATTTTTTCTTATTTTCATTAAAATTTCTTGACAGTGCCTCTCCCACTCTTTCATCTGCTCTCCTTTTGCACTCTCTCACCACTCTCTTCACCTTTCTTTTACTCTCCATATACTCTGCTCTTCTTATAACACTTCTGGTTTGTAAAAACCTCTCATAAGCTACCTTTTTCTCTTTTATCACACCCTTTACTTCATCGTTCCACCAATCACTCCTCTTTCCTCCTGCCCCCACCCTCCTATAACCACAAACTTCTGCCCCACATTCTAATACTGCATTTTTAAAACTATTCCAACCCTCTTCAACCCCCCCACTATTCATCTTTGCACTAGCCCACCTTTCTGCCAATAGTCGCTTATATCTCGCCCGAACTTCCTCCTCCCTTAGTTTATACACTTTCACCTCCCTCTTACTTGTTGTTGCCACCTTCCTCTTTTCCCATCTATCTCTTACTCTAACTGTAGCTACAACTAAATAATGATCCGATATATCAGTTGCCCCTCTATGAACATGTACATCCTGGAGCCTACCCATCAACCTTTTATCCACCAATACATAATCCAACAAACTACTTTCCTTCATTTTTATTATATATATATATATTTATATATATATATATATATATATATATATATATATATATATATATATATATATATATAATATATATATATATATATACATATATATATATATATACACGTATATCTGTAGTATCTTACCACCAATCTGGAAGAAGACACACTGTTGTTCATCCGCTTGGATAGCATCATTCATGTCTTTTGTGGTCATGTAACTGAAGTTTTTGCTAGACATTACAGTTCCATCCGTCCAGTAGAGGTTATCCTGAGGCTTGCCTGAAGCATCACACGTCACATTAACACAATAAATCTAAAAACTCACAAATATTAACTACCATATTTTCCCTGTTAGTTGACTTTGGTTCATTTTATTTTTTTGCTTTGATGACTAAGACATACGAATATATTTGTAATATTTATCTTGCCAAAGTTAATTAAGCTATTAATGTATAATGAATATTATACGTAAGATGGAAGCTAAAACTTACTATAAAGACCGAGCCAGAGCTGGTCGTTCTCTGGGATATGGTCGTAGAAGAAGGCGTCTTCTGCCACAGTGTCTAAGACTACCAGGGAGGCACCGACGCTCTCACAGATGCCCTTGGCGTCCTCCCACACCAAGGAGTCCACATCTTCCGTGTTGAAATAGTAGCAGGAATCCTCGAACACCTCCCACCCCGGGAGACATGATCCTGCACCGTAATTATGCTGTGTTAATGTCGTATTTTTACAAGCAAGAACAGTGATGGTTTAGTAAAACAAGCCTCCCCCCCCCATCTACCTCTTTCTCAAGGCCTTGATAAAGTTCTACATAGAGCGAAGCGTTGTTCCAGTGAAAACATATTCTGCAGCTTAGTGGAAACGGCACGAATGCAATAAACATTCATACGTTTCTTCCAACACTAGGCTCTTCAAAATACTTTTAAAAAGTCCAAAACTGAGTGAAACACTGTACAAATAAAATACATCACTAAAGTCCCCCCACTGTGAGTAGCTAGCCACTTTGTCCAGTGTATTACTTGCCATTCTTATGGGTCGTGTTTTGGGCAGGTTAATGCTTTCCTTACCTTGGACTTTCTTACAGATGTAGTGGTACTGGTCGGTGACTTTCTCTACCACCCAGTGACCATCATCATCTGACTTATCCACCACAGCAGCGCCAAACCCGTTGTAGGATCTGTCACCAAGACAACCATTATACAAAGCAGTAGTAACAGTTTAGTTACTTTAGTATCTTCATTATGCACCCCATACTCATCCTGTGGGCGGTAGTCAAAAGATTACAGAGGCACATAATGGCTCCAGGGACTGGACTGCAAAGTTTTGATTGCTAAACAAGTTACTATGGTGATGAACTATTTACATGTTTGATGACAGTGAAGGCATCTTGACCCAGAACAGAAGCTTCTCTTCCCTTTCCCGTTTTATTCTCTCATTTCCCCAAATGCTGTATGGCCTCTATGACCTGTTTGACCTTACCCATGAATTTAATTATAATAATAATACTCACAGATCAGGCTGACCTTCCTTCCAGTGAGTGTAGTTACTCTCCTCACCATCAACCCAAGTGAACTGTCCAGCATGACCCTGAAACAATTTTTTTTTTTAGCGTTTAGCTTTAGACCGGCTCGCGGGGGCATTGACCCCCGGTACTCTTTCCAGGTATACGTTAAGTAGGAAGGCTGTACGTAAGTCTCCAACAGCTTGTCTGATAAGGAAAAAAAAAGATAAAGATCTACACTCTTCTCTGTCAGGATACGTGGCAGTCTAGAGATTTCTTCTCTCCTGATGTCTGCACACACACACTTTGTTTCATGTATTTGTAGCACATTTATAAATGTGATATTTTCCCAGCAATAAAGAATACAAAGTCACAATACAGTGATTGGAACAATTCACAAATAACCCGCACATAGGAGAATGAAACTTTGGACGACGTTTCGGTCAGACTTGGACCAGTAGTTAATGGTCAAGTTGAATTTGCATGAACATTTCTTTCAGAAACCATACCTGATGCCCAGAAAGAAAACTCGACCATTAGTTAATGGTCCAAGTCATACCGAAATGCCATCAGTAATTCTCCTATATGAGGGTTATTTATGTATTCCCAGCAATAAGAAAAAAAAAAGATGGAGCAGTCTAGTAAAATAACAGATCATTGGTAACAGAATCTTGACTGCAGTCCTACACTGAGAACTGGAGCTTATAGTCAACATGCTGTTTGTAGGACTACACTAATAATCAGTTAATATGCCATCATAATGAGTCCTCGTCGTGCATGCACGCACGCACACACACACACAAAAGCTAGAGGATCAGGCACACATAACAGGAAAGGCACTGCAATGGATCAGAGAATACCTGACAGGGAGGCAACAACGAGTCATGGTAGCAACTGGCTCCTTGAGTTTAACCCTGCCAAATGCAAATTCATGAAGACTGGGGAAGGGCAAAGAAGACCGCAGACACAATATAGTTTAGATGGCCAAAGACTGCAAACCTCACTCAAGGAAAAAGATCTGGGGGTGAGTATAACACCGAGCATATCTCCTGAGGCGCACATCAATCAGATAACTGCTGCAGCATACGGGTGCCTGGCAAACTTACGGATAGCGTTCCGATACCTCAGTAAGGATTCGTTCAAGACTCTGTATACCATTTACGTCAGGCCCATACTGGAGTATGCAGCACCAGTTTGGAATCCACACCTAGTCAAGCACGTAAAGAAATTAGAGAAAGTGCAAAGGTTTGCAACAAGACTAGTCCCAGAGCTACGGGGATTGTCCTATGAAGAAAGGTTGAGGGAAATCGGCCTGATGACACTGGAGGACAGGAGGGTCAGGGGAGACATGATAACTACATATAAAATACTGCGCGGAATAGACAAGGTGGACAAAGACGGGATGTTCCAGAGAAGGGACACAGACACAAGAGGTCACAATTGGAAGTTGAAGACTCAGATGAATCAAAGGGATGTTAGGAAGTATTTCTTCAGTCATAGAGTAGTCAGGTCGTGGAATAGCCTAGAAAGTGACGTAGTGGAGGCGGGAACCATACATAGTTTTAAGGCGAGGTATGATAAAGCTCATGGGGCAGGGAGAGAGAGGACCTAGTAGCAATCAGCAAAGAGGCGGGGCCAGGAGCTATGAATCGACCCCTGCAACCACAAATAGGTGAGTACAAATAGGTGAGTACACACACACACACACACACACACACACACACACACACACACACACACACACACACACACACACACACACACACACACACACACACACACACACACATAGTCAAACATTTACAAGCACACATCTATACAATAACACACAAAAAAAAAAGCACCAGAGGATGCAGCAGTGTGATGCTTATAAGAAAAAGCATCAGCATTAAAAAAAGAACATCAGCAGCAGCAAAAGTGTCTTACCTTCAACACTTTATGTGGAGAAGTTTACCTCCAACAGGGGACTAAGACCCCCTTTCTTCATTCCCACACTGGCAAGATGCAGGAGCAGGACCAAAGGGTCATGGCCCTTACCTCTTTCCATTAGCAGAAATGAAGGGGGATCATATATTGTACATCGAAGAAACAGCTGTATAAACCATACCACGGGTGGGATTAGAACCCGTGATCAGAGTCGCGGGTTCTAACCCCACCCATGGTATCGTTTGTGTGCAATCGTGTCATTACGATTTTGTGAGTCAACAGCTGTATCTTACAATGTGGTCCAAACCAGGCAAAATTAGATTACGATTAAAATGGATCTAAATTGAGTGTAGATAAGATGTACACACAAGTCTGCTTGTAGAGGCCGACTCTCCTCCCCTGCCAAGCAGAACCCACGATATATTTCACAAGTTTGCCCGAAACACTTTCTATTCCTATGATCTTTTAAATGAGTTCCTAATAAGCCTCTAGCCTAATGAGTTCCTAATAAGCCTCTAGCCTAATGACATAGCTAGTATCATTAACTTAGTAATCAACACCTCTGAGTCAACGGATTCACATTCTTTGACCCAGATATTTGTCAGCAGAAAATTTATTATATAAGACGAGCCGGAGCACCCAAAGCTTTCATTCTCATATAAAATGGTTATAATTATAACCTGAATTTTTAAAGGGGTGGACAGGTAAGCCAGCGAAAGGCCTCAGTCAGGTGACGAAAAGCGCCAGCTACGGGTTATCATATAGCTAAGACCCGTGTCAGGAAACACTTGTCCTGTTTCCTAACCTTGCCCAACCAAAAGCTTAGAATTCGACGAGCATTAACAATGTAACCACGAGTGACGACGACAAAGCCACACTGCATTTAAACTTGACCACATTTGTGTACACTGTGTAACTCAAGTCAAGCTCTGACAATCTCCAGGGATAACTGAGGAAGAGATAGTGTTGAGACGCACAAATATGTAACTCTTCAATGCATAGTGTCACCAGTAAATAATTTTATTTCTACAAGCACATGTACAAGGTATACAGACCATAGCTGACATCAGTGACATACTACTACACAAATAACCCGCACATAGAAGAGAAGAGCTTACGACGACGTTTCGGTGCGACTTGGACCCTTTACAAAGTCACACTAACAAAAACATACATACATAGGACTCACAGGTAAGGACCCACGAGGGGCGAGGGGCAAGTGGGGACAGGTCGAAGAATAGATGAAAAGGAGAGCAGGCTGGGTATATATAGGCAGGAGGTGGTAGTAGTAGTAGTAGTAGTGCGGGTTATTTGTGTATTGTTCCAGTCACGGTATTGTGCCTTTTTGTTATTTATGACATACTACTATATAAAAAGCCGCTTGTTATGCAGAACATTTCCCGCACATTAGGTGAGTTTTGTCCCAGGATGCGACCCACACCAGTCGACTAACACTCGGAACCGTTTTACTGATGGAGGGCACAGACAACCGGTGTAAAGAAACACGCCCAATGTTTCTACCCTAGCCGGGAATCGAATCCAGACCCTTGCTGTGTGAAGCGAGAGCCTTATCCACCAGGCCACGGGGCAGATATCTTCCTACTGTGTACATTATCCACGGACATATTAGCATTCACGAGTTAAAACTTGTGGCCAAGTGATGGAGAATTCAGGTGACATTAAGCAAATCGACATGAGGATAATGACTCATGAAATCGTAATGACACGATTGTGTTGGTCTGGAGTTTTATGACTCTCTGACCGCGGGTTCTATCCCTTCCCGTGGTATGGTTTAAGAGGATGGTGTATATTCCTAAATAACGTTCAACGTTGTTAAAGTGACAAAGGAAGTGAAGACGACCTTGAGTCAACGGAGCATAAACGTCATGTCTGTAATCAAGCCATCAATACAGGCATCAATGACGTGGTACCGTCAGTGGCTCCCACTACATGTAGACAGGTAAATTTTATTACCAAAAGCCCCTGGAGGGAGGTACCTTGATACTGGTTGAAGGGCTCTTGATGTAGGGAGCTGGATCTGTGCTCCAGTTTCCTTAATTAAGCTGAATACCTTTCACCCCCACACAGGCACTGTATAATCCCTGTGGGTTTAGCACTCCCCCATGATTATAATAGTATTTATCAAAGCACATCAGCCGGCAAACACTGCAGTGGACGATCAGGTGTTAGAGAAATAGGACTAACTACAACGATGCCGTAATGGGGAGAGAGTTCCGCCCAACCCAGGTAAGATATATACGTGATCTCCCCAGATAATATCTGCCACAGTGGAACACATATATGTCAGGAGGGGGTGTTAATTATGGTTATCCCGCTCTATTACAGCCCCGTGAGACAGAAGATAGCCTAGGTTATGGCTGCTAGAGGTTTCAGGCTGTCGGCTTAAAGATAAGTACCCCAAATACCATCAATTGTTTTTAATGTTGTTTATCTAAATAAATTTCCATACTTTACCACTGGTTAAAATACTGAAGACGTGACCCGTAGAGTTTATATCAGCTTATTTAGCTACAAACAGGTAATCACAAATGGGCATTCACAAATATTTAGTTATAAATAAGTAAGTTACAACGAATTAATCGCTCTGAAATGCTCACCTGCTCGTTGAGTCCAATCCAAACATTATCCCGGGCGTCGAGAGCGAGATCTATGGCCATCTGCTGCTCAATGTTGGTCTCGATAGTGAGAAGTGAACCTCCCTCTATCTCACAGTTCACCAGACTATCATACCAAGAGTTCTTAACCTCGGATTTCTGAATAATAGTAATATAATCAGTGACTGATGTATCAGAAGATAGAGACGCACGTTTCTTCATTATTATTATTATTAATTATTATTATTATTAAAATGTTTCGGATTCACTGTTATTTCTCGTATATATAAAACATTTCTCTGAAAATACTGCATTACTGTAAGCACAAATTTTGTTTCAACTAATATTAATATATCATGCTTAACTGGCCATCTCTGTTCTTTTGATTTACTCATTTCTTATTGAGATTCTGTTTATGCTTATGAATAAAACAATGCGATCATGTTTGAAGGTTTGTGCTGTGTAACTGATTCCTAAGTTTTGGATTTACATACAGTAGCTACCAGTGAAGGGGGGGGGTAGGAGCTATGACTCAACCCCTGCAACCACAATTAGGTGAATACACATACACACACACACACACAGGCGGGGTCAGGAGCTGTGACATGACCCCTGCAACCACAAATAGGTGTGTAGACACACACACACACACACATACATACATATATATACACACACACATATATATATATATATATATATATATATATATATATATATATATATATATATATATATATATATATATATATATATATATATATAGGAGGTAAACGCCCCAGCGGCCCAGTCTGTGACCAGGCCTCATGGTGAATCAGGGCCTGATCAACCAGGCTGTTACTGTTGGCCGTATGCAACCCAACGTACAAAGCATAGTCCGCCTGGCCAGGTACTGACTTTAGGTGCCTGTCCAAAGCCTTCTTGAAAACAGCCAGAGGTCTATTGGTAATCCCCCTTATGTATGCTGGGAGACAGTTGAACAGTCTTGGGGCCCTGACACTTATTGTGTTAACTCTTATCGTGCAGTGCCACCCCTGCTTTTCACTGGGCTGATGTTGCATCGTCTGCCGAGTCTTTTATTATCATAGGGAGTGATTTTCGTGTGCAAATTTGGTACTAATCCCTCTAGGATTTTTAAAGTTTATATAAGCATGTATCTCTCCCGCCTGCATTCCAGGACACACTGGTCGAGGAACCTCAAGCGCTCCCAGTAAATGAGGCGTTTTATCTCCGTTATGCGCGCCGTGAAGGTTGTACATTTTCTAGGTCAGCAATTTCACCTGCCTTGAAAGGTGCTATTAGTGTGCAGCAATATTCCAGCCTAGATAGAACAAGCGACCTGAAGAGTGTCATCATGGGCTTGGCATCCCTAGTTTTGAAGGTTCTCATTATCCAGCCTGTCATTTTTCTAGCAGATGCGATTCATGCAATGTTATGGTCCTTGAAGGTGAGATCCTCCGACATATCGCTCTCAGCTCTTTGACATTAGTTTTTCGCTCTACTGTGTAGTTGGAATTTGTTTTACACTCCGATATAGTTTTAATTTCCTCAGGTTTTCCATATCGGTGGCATGGTGGCTAAAGCTCCCACTTCAGACACGGAGGGCCCGGGTTCGATTCCCGGCGGGTGGAAACATTTCGACACGTTTCCTTACACCTGTTGTCCTGTTCACCTAGCAGCAAATAGGTACCTGGGTGTTAGTCGACTGGTGTGGGTCGCATCCTGGGGGACAAGATTGAGGACCCCAGTGGAAATAAGTTAGACAGTCCTCGATGACGCACTGACTTTCTTGGGTTATCCTGGGTGGCTAACCCTCCGGGGTTAAAAATCCGAACGAAATCTTATCTTCTGTGGCCCATTTAAAGATTTAGTTGATGTCCGCCTAGAGTCTGGCAGTGTCTTCAGTGGGGTTCACTGTCATGCAAATTCGGGTGTCATCTGCAAAGGAACACACAGGCTTACGTCCCTGTCTATGTCAGATTTGAGGATGAAGAACAAGATGGGAGAGAGTACTGTGTTGTGGAAAAGAACTTTTCACAGTACCCACCTCAAATTTTACTGTTTACTGTTACTCTTTGTGTTCTATTAGGAAATTATAGATCCATCTACCAACTTTTCCTGTTATTCCTTTATCACACATTTTGTGCACCATTACACCATGGTCACACTTGTCAAAGGCGTTTGCAAAGTCTGTGTATACTACATCTGCGTTTTATTTGTCTTCTAGAGCATTCAGGACCTTGTCATAGTGCTCCAGTAGTTGGGACAGACAGGAGCGACCTGCTCTAAATCCATGTTGCCCTGGGTAGTGTAACTGATGGGTATCTAGATGAATGGCGATCTTGCTTCTTGGAAGACTTTCAAAGATTTTTATAATACGGGATGTTAATGCTCTCAGTCTGTAGTTGTTTGCTATTGCTTCACTGCCACCTTTGTGAAGTGGGGCTATGTCTGTTGCTTTTAGCAGCTTTGGGATAATCCATGTGTCAATACTCCCTTTCCATAGAATGTTAAAAGTACATGATAGGGATTTCTTGCAGTTCTTAATGAACACGGAATTCCACGAGTCTGGGCCTGGGGCAGAGTGCATGGGCATGTCATTTATTACCTTTTCGAAGTCATTTGGTGTTAGGATAATATCAGATAGGTTTGAGTCTACCAAATTCTGTGTCTCGCTCATAAAAAAATTCATTTAGGTCTTGGGCTCTTAGTCTGGTTAGCGGCTCACTAAAAACTGAGTCATACTGGGACTTAAGTAGCTCATTCATTTCCTTGTTTCATCTATGTAAGATCCATCTCGTCTAAGTAGGGGCTCAAAACTGGATGCTGTTCTCGACTTAGATTTGGCATAAGAAAAGAAATATTTTGGGTTTCTTTCAATTTCATTTATGGCTTTTAGTTCTTCCCGCATTTCTTGATTCCTGTAAGATTCCTTGTTTGACTGACAGTTAGTTAGGTAGGTAGGTAGGAAGAGAGGAGGGGAGGTAACCTTGTAATTTTCAAAGGTAGTCGTTCTGGCATACTTCTTGAGAGGATCTGCACATACTGATTCATATGTAGACATATGTATATAATTAAAAACATGGCTTAAATTCGATGTTTGCTATTTCTCTGGCCAGTGCCTCCCTTCGTATTACAGATATGCTGGCCTCTTTTAGCCGCTTTGTTATTTTTAGCTTTCGCCTGTATAGGGAGCGCCTCTCTCTCTCTCTCTAGTTTACACCTTCTGTTCGTTTTCCTTAAAGGAATATGCCTTGAACATACCTCGTGTGCCAGTTATTTTTTTTCTAGACATAGGTTTGGATCCGTGTTGTAGGGTATCTTCCCAGTTTATATAATTTAGGACCTGGTTGACTTGGTCCCACCTTATGTTTTTGTTATTGAAGCTGAATTTGGTGAAGGTTTCCTCGTGACTGATCATATTTTGTTGGTCAGGGGCCCTGCGCATACATGTCTAAACCTCTATTATATTGTGATCTGAGTATATTTTTTTGATATGGTAATATTTCGTATCAGATCATCATTGTTAGTTATGATAATGTGCAAATTGTAGGTGATCTTGAACCCACACATATCTATGGAGGCGTCCTTGATCTATGTTTTGGCTTTAACATAACTTTTGCCAGCTCCTGCGAGTCTTCCACTGAAACAGATATATCATCAGATCATATTCTCAGATTAACCACTCTAGATATTGGTAATACCATCCTCCCTGGTGGGATATTCAAAAGGAAACGCTTTCACGTTCCCCCTGATCAGCATGACGACTTGGTCGCGCGTGTTAGACTGGTATAATTTCTATGAATATTCCTATGTTGAGACCTTTAACAGTGATCTTGTATACAATATTCATAACCATTTAGAACTGCCACTGAACCCTCCTGGTACTCCTAGCCCAACTAACTTCCATAATAATAATCCTATGAAAATCATACCCAGCACACTAACAGCACCTTTCAAGGCAGGTGAAATTGCCGACCTAGAAAATGTACAGAGAACCTTCACGGCGCGCATAACGGAGATAAAACACCTCAATTACTGGGAGCGCTTGAGGTTCCTGAACCTGTATTTCCTGGAACGCAGGCGGGAGAGATACATGATTATATACACCTGGAAAATCCTAGAGGGACTAGTACCGAACTTACTCACGAAAATCACTCACTACGAAAGCAAAAGACTTGGCAGACGATGCAACATCCCCCCAATGAAAAGCAGGGGTGTCACTAGCACGTTAAGAGACCATACAATAAGTGTCAGGGGCCCGAGACTGTTCAACTGCCTCCCAGCACACATAAGGGGGATTACCAACAGACCCCTGGCAGTCTTCAAGCTGGCACTGGACAAGCACCTAAAGTCATTTCCTGATCAGTCGGGCTGTGGCTCGTACGTTGGTTTGCGTGCAGCCAGCAGCAACAGCCTGGTTGATCAGGCTCTGATCCACCAGGAGGCCTGGTCACAGACCGGGCCGCGGGGGCTTTGAACCCCGAAACTCTCTCCAGGTAAACTCCAGTACAATGATCCGAAACTTCCAACATTGAAACGTACTGCTCACAGACTAGGCCTAGCCTACAGAAAATATCGTGTCCCTGAAATGTTGAAGCTCTTTCAAACTGCCTATAAGCTTTGAGATGGGGAGGAGATTTAACACTCATGTGATCTCAGAGCTGAAGGATATAAACGTGTGATAGTTCATTACCACCGTAACTTGTTTAGCTATCAAAATTATTGCAGCCTAGTCCCTGGACCTATTATATTTCTTTGTAATCTTTAGACTACCGCCACAGAAGGGGTATGGGGTACATAATAAAGATATTAAACCAACTATAAAGATCATTATTCATGAATTCTCATGAATCAGCTGAGTAAAACAGGAACAATGAACAACAAGAAAACGTCGTCCTTACAGTAACTTGGTTAATTTCATATTGTGGATCTTACCTTGTAGCAGTATTTATTCATCTCTTCCCAGCCAGTGTCGTAGTCACAAGGAGGGGGTACAGCTGTCGGGAGACACAAACTGTTATTATAGTCACCAGAAAATAATTAAACGGAAATTATCATTCAGTGCTTGGGGAATTGGAGGTAAGTTTATTCAAGTACAGGTACACATAAATAATTATATAAATTATCATACATAGCAACATATGTGTAATTACCTAGGATAATCCAAAAAAGTCAGTCAGAACTGTCCGAAGTGGAGGATAGATCTAATTCTTTAGATCAAAAGCCTTTTTAAAACATCTTGAGGTATTTCCTCCCCTGCATGGTGCTAGAGTGAAGAGACCAATATGCAGTTTTGGAGGGAGTTTAATGTAGAAATTACAGTGTCTGCACTCTGAAGGATGGGTGGGGATGTTACAGTTTTGGAGGTGGGAAGCACATTGCCTGCACTCTGAATGAGGGGTAGGGATGTTTCAGTTGGAGGTGGGGAAGACGTGTCTGCACTCGAATGGGGGGAAACCCCCCCGGGGTTTCCATTCAAAAAAACCCCAAAAAAATTTTTTCCCGGGAAAAAAAAAAAAATTTTTTTAAAAAGGGGCCCAAAAAAAATTTAAAGGGGAAAAAAAAAATTTTTTAAAAAAAAATTTAAAAAAAAAAGGGGGGGGGGGGGGTTTTTTTTGGGTTTTTTTTTTAAAAAATTTTTTTTTTTTTAAAAACCCCCAAAAAAGGGGGGGGGGAAAAAAAATTTTAAAAAAAAAAATTTTCCCCTTTTTAAAAAAGGGGGGAAAAAAACAAACAAAAAATTTTTTTCCCCTTTAAAAAAAAAAGGGGGGGGTTTCCCGGGGGAAATTTTTTTTGGGGGAAAAAAAAAAGGGGGGGCCCCCAAAAAATTTTTTTTTTTAAAAAAAAAAAATTTTTTTTGGGGGGGGGGAAATTTTTTTTAAAAAAATTTTTTTTAAAAAATTTAAAAAAAAAAAATTTTTTTAAAAAAGGGTTTTTAAAAAAAAATTTTAAAAAAAAAAACCCGGAAAAATTTTTTTATTTTTTTTTGGGGAAAAAAAGGGGAAAAAAAATTTTGGGGGGGGGGGGGGAAAAAAAATTTTTTAAAAATTTTTAAGGGGGGGGGGGTTTTAAAAAAAAAAAAGGTTCCCCGGGGGGGGGTTTTTTTTGGGGGGGGTTTTTTTTAAAATTTTGGGGGTTTAAAAAAAAAATTTTTTGGCCCCCCCCGGGCGGGGGGGGTTTTTTTTGGGGGGGGGGTTTTTTCCCTGCCCAAAATGCCCCCTTTTGGGAAAATGGGAAAAAAAAAAAAAAAGGGGGTTTTAAAATTTTTGGGGGGGGGGGCCTTTAAAAATCGGGGGGGGGGGGGGGAAAAAAAAGGGGGGAAAAAAAAAAAAAAGGGGGGGGGTTTTTTGGGGGGGAAGGGGGAAAAAAACCTAAAAAAGGGTTTTTTTTTAAAAAAAGGGGGGGGGTTTTTGGGGGCCCCAAAAATTTGGGGGGTTTTGGGGGGGAAAATTTTTTTTAAAAAAAAAAATTTGGGTTTTTACATTGGGGGGGGAAAAAAAATTTAAAGGGGGGGTTTTTTGGGGTTTGGGTTTGGGGGGGGGGGGAAAAAAAAAAAGGGGGGGGGTTTTAAAACCGGGGGGGGGGGAAAAAAAGGGGGGAATTTTTCCTTTTAAAACGGGGGGGGATTTTTTTTGGGTTTGGGGGGGCCCCCGGGGAAAAAAAAAAATTTTTGGGGGGGGAAAAAAAAAATTAAAATTTAAAAAATTTTTTTAAAGGGGGGTTTCCTTTTTTTTTTTTGGGGGGGTTTTTAAAAAATTTTTTGGGGGAAAGAATTTTTTTTTTGGGGGTTTTGGGGGGCCCAAAGGGGGAAAAGGGTTAAAGGGGGGGGGGGGTTTTTTTGGGGGGGGAAAATTTTTTTGGGGCCCAAAAAAAAGGGGGGGAAAAGGGGGAAAAAAAAACCCCCCTTTTTTAAAATAATTTTTCCCCCCAAAAAACCCTTTAAAAAAAAAAAAAGGGGGGGGAAAAAAAAGGGACCCCCAAAAACCGGGGAAAAAAAGGGAAAATTTTTTGGGGGAAAACCTGGGGGGAAAAAAAACCCGGGCCCTTTAGTTTTTTTAAAAAAAAAAATTTTTTTCCCCAAAAACCCAAAAAAAAAATTTAAAAAAAAATTTTTTTTAAAAAAAGATTTTTTTTTTAAAAAAATTTTTTAAAAAAAGGGGGGGGGGTTAAAAAAAAAGGGAACCCCCAAAAAACCCCTTAAAAAACCCCCCCCCAAATTTTTTTTTTTTTTTTTTTAATTTTTTTAATTTTAAAAATTAAAAAATTTTTTAAAAAAAAAAAAATTTTAAAAATGCCCAAAAAAAAGGGTGGCCCAAAAAAAAAATTTTTTGGGGTTTTTTTGGGGGAAAAGTTTTAAAATTTGGGGGGTTTTAAAAAAGGGGAAAAAAGGTTAAAATTTAAAAAAAAAAGGGGGGTTTTGGGAAAAATTTAATTTAAAAAATTTAAAAATTTGGGTTTTTTTTAAAAATTTGGGGGGGGGAAAAAAAGGGGTTTTAACCCGGGGGGTTTTTTTTAAAAGGGGGTTTTTTTTTTGGGGGGGGGTTTTTTTAAAAATTTTTTTTTTTGGGGGGGGGGGGGCCCCAATGGGGGGGAATTGGGGGGGTAAGGGGGGTTTTCCTTTTTTTTTAAAAATTTTTTTTTTGGGGTTTTTTTGGGTTTTTTTTGGGGGTTTTTTTTTTTTAAAAGGTTTTTAAAAGGGGGCCGGGGAAGGGGGGGGGGGTTTTTTGGGGGTTTTTCCCCCCTTTTTTAAAAATTTTTTTAAAACTTTTTAAAAGGGTTTTGGGGTTTGGGTTTAAAGGGGGTTTTGGGGGGAAAAAAAAGGGGAAAAGTTTAAATTTGGGGGGGGGGGGGGGGGGGGTTTTAGTGTTTATTCTTACTGCGGGTTTTTGTTGGGGTTTTTTATTGGGTTTTTGGGGTGTTGCTGCAGGGCACCCAAGAGAGTTTGCAGAACTTTTGTTTCAAGAAAATCGAATTTTGCTTCCGTGAAATTTCCAAAAAAAAAAGTCAAATTTCAAAAATTAAACCCCCGTTGTGTTACATCTCCCGATTTCCCAAACCCTTTCCAAAACGTTTTCAAAGTTTTCTGAGCCCCAAACCCCCAGTAGGCAGCTTGACCCCGTCTCCCGTCTCAGCTACCTAGCGATAACCAATTCTGAAATGTAGGCAGTAAGTTTACATTTAGATTCTGCACGTAGGTTAATTTTTTAAAGAGATATGACATAAAAATTTGTGTTTGAAATTAGGGGTAAAAGGGGTTTTTACTACCTTTAGGTTAAATCACTTTTTTGGCGACATGCCGTAATAAAACCCGGTTCCCCCTTTTAGGGGTTTGCAGTAGTCCCCAGCGTCACTGAAAGGGCCAGCTTGACCCGTGCGTGAATCAAAATTGCACTGGTCTGTGCCTCCACGTGCTGCCCTTAAGGGACACCCTTTCTTCCCCTCATGCTACCACCTGTTTGTGCCACAGAGGATCAGTGGGCTTTAGATACATTTATAGATAGAGTTTAAGGGACCATTAGGCTTTCTTTCTGTAAAAACAGAGCATGAAAAAAGCTGTATTAATTTTTACCCCCCAAAGGGAGAGTCGAAAATTTTTTAAAATTTTTGAAAATATTAAAAAGGTGTACTTTCATATACCCCCCAAAAACACCCGTGTTTTTTTTATTTGCCCTCACCACAAGGGTACTATCTATACCTACCCCCAAGTGGGCTAAACTTTACCCTCACCCCACAGTGTAAATATCTTTACCCTCACACCAGTGCACTATCATATACCCTCCCACCAGTGCATATTATAACCCCTCACAAAAAAGTGTATTTCATATACCCCGACCCACAAAGCACTTCATATCCCTCAAACCCCACAGTTATATTATAACCCTACCACATGTTTTTAATTTTCCTCACCACACAGTGTACCATATACCCCCACCACACCGTGTAATCATATACCCGACCCACGTGACTATCATATCCCTCACAACCAGTGATATCATATCCCTACCACACAGTGTACTTCATATCCCACCACACAGTGTACTATTTTATACCCCTCACCCCACAGTGTCTACATATACCCCCCCACAATGCACTATCATATACCCTCACCACACAGTGTTAAAAATTTTTCCCTCACCACCGGGGACTAAAACCCTCACCCCCACATTACTATCATATACCCTACCCATGGCACTATCATAACCCCCACCACACAGTGTACTCCTTAAACCCCACCACACAATGCCCACAAATTTTCCCCCACCCACAGTGTACTATCAATACCCCCAAATTTTTCTATCATAACCTCACCAATGCCCCATCATATACCTCACCCCAAAATTTTTCTTTCTTAACCCCCGCACTAGGCACTACATATACCCCCCCACACAGTGTACTATCTATACCCACACACAAGACTATCAAATCCCTCACCACAAGTGACTATCAATACCCCCCCACAAGGCACTTTATACCCTCACCCACTTTTACTTTCATAGTACCCCAGTACCTATGCAATATACCCTCACCACACAGTTGTACTATCATTACTCACCACACAGTGTACTTATCATATACCTCAGCCATGTGCACTATCATATACCCCTCACACACAGTGCTAACTATCATATTACCTCACCACCAGTGTAAATATCAATACCTACACAGTGTACTATCATATACCTCACCACACAGTGCACTTTCATTACCTCACACAAGTGACTTCAATACGCTCCACCACACAGTGTACTATCATATACCCTCACCACACCCGTGTACTATCATATAAACCCCACCACACAGTGTTACTTCATATACCCTCACCACACAGTGTATATCATATACGCTCACCACACAGTGACTATCATATACCCTCACCACACAGTGTACTATCATATACCCTCACACCTAGTGCACTATCATATACCCTCACCACACAGTGTACTATCATATCACTAACTCACCACACAGTGTACTATCATATACCCTACAG